AAACTTTACATGGCAAACTCCGCCACGGCTGATGTGGCTGGAGTGGGCACTGTGGTGCTGAAGCTGACTTCTGGAAAGGAGTTGAAGCTTAAGGATGTTCTGCATGTCCCAGACATCCGCAAGAATTTGGTCTCCGGATCTCTTCTTGTTGAGCATGGATTTAGGCTAGTATTTGATGCTAAGAAATTTGTTCTTAGTAAGTTTGGAACTTTCCTTGGTCGTGGCTATCTCGACAAGGGTATGTTTAAAATGAATGTAATGGCTGTGAGCCGTGTAACCGTTTTAAATGATAATGAAAAGCCTATTTCTGTTTATACCGTTGAGTGCTATGATATATGGCATATTAGATTGGGACATGTAAATCAAAATGCAATTAAACGGTTGATGAATTTAGAATTAATTCCTAATTCTAAAATTGAATCACATAAGAAATGTGAGATTTGTATTGAAGCAAAAATGGCTAAGTTGCCTTTTCACTCGGTGGAAAGGTGTACTGAACCATTAGGCTTAATCCATACTGATGTATGTGATATGAAAAGTGTGCAAACAAGAACAGGTAAAAAGTATTTTATTACTTTTATCGATGATTGCACAAGGTTTTGCTACTTATATTTATTAAGAAGCAAAGACGAGGCTGTGGAAGCATTTAAAATCTATAAGACCGAAGTTGAAAATCAACTCTGCAAAAGGATTAAAATAATCCGAAGTGATAGGGGTGGGGAGTATGTAGCTCTTTTTAAACAAATATGTTCTGAATATGGCATAATTCATCAAACGACGGCCCCTTATTCTCCACAGTCGAACGGTGTTGCTGAACGCAAGAACCGTACGTTAAAAGAAATGATGAATGCCATGTTGATAAATTCAGGATTACCACAAAACATGTGGGGGGAAGCTGTTTTAACAGCAAATCATATCCTGAAAAAAATACCACCTAAAGGGAAAGATGAGACTCCTTACGAAATATGGAAAAATCGTAAGCCGTCTTATAAATACCTAAAAGTGTGGGGGTGTTTGGCTAAGGTTTCAGTACCGGAACCCAAACAAATGAGAATCGGGCCAAAGACGGTCGATTGTGTATTTATTGGATATGCGTACAATAGTACAGCATATAGATTTCTGGTTCATAAATCAGAAAATCCAGAGGTATCTATTGGTACCACGATTGAGTCGAGGAATGCTATATTCTTTGAGAATATTTTTCCTCTAAAGGAAAGGGCAGAATCTAGTTCTAATAAACGAACGTATGAAACTGCTAGTGGTTCTGTACCAGAGGGTACTGATGAAGAACCGAGACGTAGTAAAAGGTTAAAAACGGCGAAAACGTTTGGACCTGATTTTATTACGTATATGTTGGACGATG